TGACCACAGAACCAGCAGCTGTATTGCATTGCTTGTTTTGATTGGTGCTTTGCAGTTCATTAGGGGAATGGACCCTATAGATTGATTTATAAATCTGCTGTTGAGGTCATGGAATGGGAGGTTCTGGGACTTTTAATGGTCCCCATATCCAGACTCCCAACTCCAAATGTACAGTTTCAGCATAAACTGAAACTGCCTAAGAACTTTCTCACTTATTTAAAAAAAAAAAATTCATTTACTATTTATTTGTTTTGGTTTTTCACGTTGCTGAGTCCAGGACTTGAACCACAGTCAGCCATGTGGGAATCCACCCTCTTAATCACCATGCCACCTGCTGGTCCCTGAAATTTCTCAGTTTTACTTGAAAAGTTCTATTAGAAAATTCACGTATCTTTATAGAAGGATTTCAGATCTAGGTTTTCTTCCTCCCTTTTTGATTGCCAGCATTCGGATTGGGGAACGGAGGGGTGAAGCGTTTCCGTTCTTCTGTCCCAGCTGCTATTGGCTGGCTGCAGGAGGACCTGGGAAGCCATGGTGAAAGTCCTGATGAGCATGTCTGGGACACCTCGCCCCAGGCAGAGCGACCACTCCCTGCCCAAAGCCATGCTGGCTCTTCACAGAACCCACGGTTCACACAAGGATCGCTCCAGGTGCTCCATGTGGGAATCCACCCTCTTAATCACCATGCCACCTGCTGGTCCCTGAAATTTCTCAGTTTTACTTGAAAAGTTCTATTAGAAAATTCACGTATCTTTATAGAAGGATTTCAGATCTAGGTTTTCTTCCTCCCTTTTTGATTGCCAGCATTCGGATTGGGGAACGGAGGGGTGAAGCGTTTCCGTTCTTCTGTCCCAGCTGCTATTGGCTGGCTGCAGGAGGACCTGGGAAGCCATGGTGAAAGTCCTGATGAGCATGTCTGGGACACCTCGCCCCAGGCAGAGCGACCACTCCCTGCCCAAAGCCATGCTGGCTCTTCACAGAACCCACGGTTCACACAAGGATCGCTCCAGGTGCTCAGAACTGTGCTTTCGCTGTTTCCCAGCTGGGTTAAATGCTCACGAGGGCACGAACTGTATGTCTTATGATACGCTTTGTATCTGCAGCACATAGTAGGCATTTTAAGTGTTTGAAGTGATGGATGAAGCTGCAGTAACATACAATGCATTTTTATAATTTTCAGTGTTGGCTATTAGTTTTCTAAGAGCAGCACAAGTAGTTGTATGTGTATATTTACAATATATGCATTCTTAAAATTTTATACAAAGTTTCTTTGTAGATACTGTTAGTCATTTTAAAGTGACCTGTTATGAAAATGAATACTACCTACCTCCTAGCAAAAGCCAGGCATGTTCTAAGTTTTTATTCCTTCACTCCATTCTCAGCTCTTTGACTCGGAATTGATCCTGAGCAGATTTTCTTTATCAGTTACGTGTGGGACTATTCCATACATAAATTCCTGATATTTTGTGTTTGACTTTTTTTTTTTTTTTTTGGAGAGGTTTTTGTTATAGGGCACATGTGCTTGCCAGAAAGACAGAGAAAGACAGGGAAACAGAAAGGGAGAAATCAACCCCCAGGGGGACGGCCACTCCGCAATCCCTTCTCCTCCATTCTCCTCTTGGGCATGCACACACACGCGCTGGGCGTGAGTTTAAGCCACCAGGGCCGGGACTCGGACCACAGTTGACTACATGGGAGCCAGCAACATAGCCATTATGCTAACTACTGGTCCCCTGTTTTGTGTTTTTAATGCTCAATTCTCTGCCTTTTGTTTATTTGTGACTAGTGAAACACACTCTTGTTTGACCTTTTATCTTCAAATATTGCTACTAATTTATCATCCGTGTTTTTACCTGGTGTAAAAGCATTCTACATTTGTCGTAGAGGGGTTTATAATGAAGAAATACAACACGGAGTAAAACTACACATGAAAGAAAACAGGACCTTTTGGGGTCAGCCCATGGCAGGGAGGCTAAAGCAGCTGGACCCCATGTGGTCGACTGCACAGTTCAAGTCCCAGACCTGGTGGCTTGAAACACATTCCAGACACTTGTATGTGTATGCCCAAAATCCTGAAAGGAGCAAGAAACGGAGCCAAAGGGATTTCGGTGTGACCATGCCCCACAGGGGGTGCTTTCTCTCTCTCTCTCTCTCTCTCTCCAGGGAGTGCATTGCATCCTTAGCAAATTTAAACGCATGAATGAATGAATAACTTTTTTTTTGTAATGGTACCTTGTTGATATGGAAAATGTGTTCTCCCTTTTTTGACTTTGTTTTGGTGCCTCACAAGGCACTGCTCTCTGGCTGGCTGTGAGGGGGAGGCATTCGCTCCGTGAGCTCAGGCCAGAGATTGTGGGGCCAACCTACTTCTGAGTGGTGTCACTTGCTCACATATCACACTGTGTGCTCATCTTCCTGTTCACGAAATTTTCTGAGGATTAGAATATAAGAACTCACCAGGATCACAGGGCATCCAGCCCATTATTACTGTTACAGCTTTTCTGGTGACAGGAGATGAGGAAGTATTAGGGAAGGTGGATGGCGAGGTGGTTATTTTATATTTTGTTAAGAATATAAATACATTTGATTTTTAATTCACGGAAGAAACGTAGCTCTCTCGTAGCTAAGGCTAACGTCTCTCTCCTTGAAAACTGGGCCGAAAACTCTCGATTTTCTTGGATAGCTTATTATTTGTGACTGCTGACTTATTCCTGTGTGCCATCTGAGAATTTTTGTGTCTTGGATTTACTTCTCCTAAACGGAAATCAGAAAGAACTATACCAAGCCCAGGCAGCGTCTCAGGAAAACAATTAAGCATGCGATCTGCCTTGAGCCTGTTATCTTACAGTATCATCCATAAAACCAGCGATTTGCATGTGGCAAATCAAGTTCGCAGGCCTGAAGTGAGTTCATCTGGGCTCCGAGATCCATCGAGCAGCAGTGTAAATATGCATGTCACTTTCCCGCACCACCTCTCATGAATAAGACATGCGCTCTCTGGAGAGCCCGGGGTTTTCCTAATGAATCCAAGTCACCTGTGTGCGCTGTCGTCATGATCCACAAGTTTGCAGTTGGGGGCCACAGGAAGGACACCATTTCCTGGATCAAACCCCAGAGTGCAAATATTGTGCCCTAAATAACACACTAGTTACTGTAAATGTCAGGAGAGGGAGTTTCTCCAACTTTGATTTAATGAAAGCCTACAGCAAAGCCAGCTGTTGGCACTTCGTAACTGCTTGTCAGAGCGGCCAGGGGAGAGGAGGAGAGCCGAAAACATATTTTTCCTCTGTACTCTGGTCTTGAAATTAAAAGAGTTTTCAACAGGTGTTAAATAGTGACACTGGGGTCCTTTACTGCTGACTCCTTTTAGGTGGTGACTCTGTCCGCTCTCCTGCAGTTCCATTAAGAAAGCTCATGCAAAATTGCTTTGGGGTTCGCATCTTGAATCCTTTCCAGTTCCATTAGGAAGCTCATGTAAAATTGCTTTGGGGTTCGCATCTTGAATCCTTTCACCTGGTAAAGAAGCATTGTTTTTTGTTTGTTTTCTTGGGGGTTTTGGGGGGGTTTTTTTGGAGAGATTTTCACTATAGGGCACATGCGCTAGCCAGACAGAGAGCGACATTAGACTGCAAAAGAAGCATTGTTTTTTGTTTGTTTTTCTTGGGGTTTTTTTGGAGTTTTTTTGGAGAGATTTTCACTATAGGGTGCATGCGCTCACCAGACAGACAGAGACATTAGAGACAGAAAGCGAGAAATCACCCCCCAGGAGGGATGGTCACACCGCAATCCCTTCTCCTCCATTCTCCTCTCGGGATCTTTGGCACACACGCACATGCGCCCGGCGTGAGTTTTAAGCCACCAGGTCCAGGACGCGAACTGCGGTTGACTACATGGGAGTCCAGCGACATAGCCATTACGCTAACTGCTGGTTTCCAAAGCATTGTTATTTTTTAGGCTTCCCATTCCTCACGAGAAATAATAATAATAAAAAAAAAAAACATCTAATGAAAAAACGCAGTGTGGAGGCGCACCAAGCTCTGGTCATCCCCTTGTCACTTGGTGTATCACTGAACTAATTATGAGCCATGTGTGCTTTGATTGATGTCATCTGCTTTTTCTGAACAAAGAAACCACTTGAAGCAAACACATAGGGAGGAAAGTATGCAGTGCTCGTTTTGTCGTTTCTGTCATTTCTAGAAAGCGTTCGTAAACACATGTGGTCGTTAAGGGTCTTACTGCCCCTGGAAATCCTTCGCCTGTGTTCTGCATACCAAGGGGAGATAATCTTTCAAATGCAGGCAGAGTTTACCGTCTTAGTATCTTGAAGAGGAGAAGAAAGTTTCTTCCTCGAATGATTTATAACTTGAAACATGTTGTCATGTTTTGGTAAGCCGACTCTATTAATTCCATCCTGCTCTGTGGCAAATTTTTAAAAAATCAATGTACCGTGGCAACATCATACTTTCTCAATAGCATGCTGTCCTTACAAGGGTGCATGGGAGTCGCTGTGCCCGTTCAGCCCCTAGGACGTGGGGCCACGCTCTGAGCACAGCCTGACTGAATTACCTGCAGGGCATTGACAGCCTTTCAGGACAGACAAAGGTGGCCTTCCCCAGCAGCAGAAGGCCATGTGTAAGTCTGTCTTGTAAATATCGGCTACTGGTCTGGGCCACCACGCTCAGCTTGGGCCCCTTTTCCTGCAGTAGAGGAGGAGGAGCTCTGAGAAAACAGGAGGACTCCAGCAATGATCCTCCTGATGTAGAGAAGACTGGTCACAGATCAAGATCAGTGGAAGAACCTTTGCAATCAAATCCACAGTGTTTTATTCACAGGTTGCACAAGTTCTTAACAGGATGGCTTTCTTTATCTGCTGGGGAGAATGAGAGAAAGTCCCTAGAGAGCATGTATTAGGGCCCATGTATCTGCGGAAATGAAGAGTAACCATTGTCGTTCTCTCCTCTCTCTCTCTCTCTCGCTCTCGCTCTTTGTCTTACCCACAGCGTCCGCCATCCCAGATAACGGAAGAAGGTCCTGTCTAAAGCTCAAAGTCTTTGTGAGACCGACAAGTAAGTTCACTAGAACGAGCTTCTGAGGGCGGCCTCACCGCGCATGCTTTCTCGTGTGGTCTGGTGCACAGCGGTAACACTTTTTTTACTGTTAAATCTCATGTGGTATCTGTTTTGTCTATCAACATCCATGTTTTAGTTTCCATCGTATTTTTTCCCATCATTCTTCATGATGCTTTTATTTGAGTACACAGCAGTTGCTAACTTGTTGTTTCTCAGACTGTTGTACGTGCACAGCAAATGGGAACAATATTGGCATTTGGATACGTGCCATTGATTATCAAACAGTCTCTACATGAATAAAAGGAAACAAGAGACAGAAAGAAAAAAAAAACGAGAAATGGGAGTTGAAGGGCGTCTTCACTAACATATTTGGCTGTTATCTCTATTTTTGTTATAGATAGCTGTATGAAAACTATAGGTGTTCATGATCGTGTTTTCGATGTTAACGACAAAGTAGAAAATTCATTAGAACCAGCAGGTTAGTATGCTTAGAGAATCTCTTTTAACAAATGCATCTCCCTCTCTGGTGCTTCCGTACTCTTTTCCTTTCTTCCTCCCTGCATGTTGGCATGTGGTAGTTGTTCCGCTTTCGCTCATCGCTAGCACTGCTAATCTGACTTATATTCTGCCTCATCCCTCCAGTATCGCTGTGTAATGCATGTTACAATACGACTGTTCTTTTTCGGACGTGAGCTCGATCTAACGCAGTACCCTAATATAGAAGCCCCATCAGACTACTCCAGTCTCACTGCCTTTCACCATATCCTCAGAGCATGCTGGTGAATCACTGTGAATATTAAAGAGTCTGTTTTCATATAAGACAAAGAACATTATTATTGTATGTGTGTATCAGGTTTTCTCTTTTCCACCCAAGTCTATGGATCACAGTATTAAAACGACTGCACAAAACAGCAACGAAGTCAACATATTTAGTTTTCCCTAGAAGTTCGCATGCATTGTGGAACTGATCTATAGAACTTCCTCTTATTTCTGTAGTATTTGTGCTGTTGTCGTCCATAGCAGTTGGTCCAGACAAGTGTAGTCACGTCGCCACCACAAAGCCACACACCTGCTGCTTCCACGAATTTACCAGTAGCTGTTGAGCTAAATGTAATCCTTGATCACCAAGGCAAAAGCAGTTTTAAAGCTAAATACGTTTTTCTACTACTGACTTACACACACCCAAACTTTCCCATCCTTGGGAAGAAAAATAAACTCCACAAAAGCGTGGATCGAAGCATTTATACTATAGCATATTGTGGATAATGCGAGCCTGTAAACTGACCATTTCAGGCTCCTAGATTAAGGCTGAGGGCTTGAAGCCCTGTGTGCCCCTCTTCCTGTGTGGGGTCTTTTCCTCATCCCACCTACCCCAGAGCCTCTCTGCTTTCCTAACTCATCTCCCATGAGCATCCCAAAGCTTAAGGGAAACACGGCTATTTGTGGTCACAGATTTGAGCCCCCTATGTAAATGGAGGGTTGTTTTTCCCCTCCTTTTCATAGTAGGACTTCCTTCCTGTGGTCCTAGAAGTTAGAGTTTGGGGTCCACTTTATCCTCTGAGTATTGTTACACAGACAGCACAGTCGGCGAGCCGTAGGGAAACTTACCCTGAGTAAATGCAGTGCCTCAGGACATACAGTCGCTTCAGGTTGTAACTGACAGGAAGCTTAGGTTTTTCCCCAAGCATTCTTCTTTTTCTGAGGCAGGCACCTCAGCCATAGCACAAAGCAGAGGTACAGACAATGAGCTCTCCGAGGTCTTCTGGTTTCCCAGGGAGCAGTTAGCTGCTTTCAAAAGTTGCAAGGAATCCATACCGATGCAGGAACATTTTAATCATGTCCAGGAAGTCTGGAAGCATGACTGTGATTTTTCAAGGTGCTAGACTCCCCACAGGCTGGAGGATGTGGGCCGTCATGCTGTGCAAGTTCGCTGGGATGTCTTACAGACCACAAGGGCTAGTTCACTGTTCCCTCTGCAGTGAGGGAGCCTTGCCCAGGCCGCATGGCGAGTTAGATAGATCCAGGTTCCAGCATTCCAACACTAGTGTAAAAGTAGTGTTCTCTTGCCACCACTAGAGGTGAAGATGTTTATGAAAAAGACGTAACTATAGGGACCAGCAGGTGGCATAGTGGTTAAGGCGCTGGACACTCCCACATGGCCAACCAGGGTTCGAGTCCTGAATCTGGTGCCTTGCTTTCTCACTTCCTCTCTCTCTCACTTTCACCCTCTGTCTCTCTCTGGTCAAATTAAAAAATCAACAAATGAATAAATAAAAAATAAAATAAATATTAAAAAAAAAAAAGACGTAACTATCTTGGCTCTGCCCGTAAGCCAGGAGTAGAGTCACCAGCAGCATTAGGCGTGCTGTAGACAAGTCACCCAGCATCACGCAGCATTGTGCAGAACCAGCCCCCTTTTCCCATAGTCTTCCTATTGTCTGTTTAGAGAGTACGAGGCTCTAGCAGAGAGAGCACGTTTTTCCCTGGCAATGAAGAGTGTAGGGGCAAAAGGACCTTCTCCCTCTCCTGTGGAGGTTCAGTATTTGAGTTTAAGAATTAAACTTGACAGTAGACAGATTACCAGGAGAGGCACACACATGTATTCACTCAAGCACATGGGAGTCACACAAAGTATAAGACTCAAAAAGAGATCAGATGATGAAGCTTAGAGAGCCCCTTCGTAGGGAAGAGGGAGGAGGGCTGCCGACAGTTTTAGAAGAAGAGTAAATGATTGTTAGGGGAAATGATGGAGCCTGAAGAACAGACACTAACCAGGACAAAGCCCGTCTGGACCCTGGCTGCACCCTGGGTGCAGTATCACCTCGTCTTCTTCCTGCAGCATGCAGCAGTCTGCCTGGTGGGTGAGGCACCTGGGGAAGGGCCTCACACCAGGTCAGTGTCTTCTAAAGGAGCTGGCCTCCAGGGGGATGGGGGAAGCTCAGAGAAGGTCCTTCCTGTTTGCTGTTCCCCAGGTGCTCTGAGTTTTTAGTCCAAAGCAGCATATTATGGGATATTGTTTTCTGAGCCCCAACGAGAAGCACACTGAGGACTGTCCTGCCATTAGAAAAATGACCATGGAGGGACTAGCAGTTAGCATAATGGCTATGTTGCAGGACTCCCATGTAGTCGACTGCGGTTCAAGTACCGGACCTGGTGGCTTAAACTCACGCCGGGTGCATGTGCATGCATGCCCAAGATCCCGAGAGGAGAATGGAGGAGAAGGGATTACGGCATGACCATACCCCCTGGGGGGGTGATTTCTCGCTTTCTGTCTCTCTGTCTCTCTGTCTGGCGAGCACACGTGCCCTATAGCAAAAACCTCTCCAAAAAAAAAAAAAATGACCATGGAATTCAGCTAATGATATAATGCAAGATAATAAGCTGCTTTCATACAGCAGCATATTTTAGTTTTTTGGAAGACAAGCTCTTTTTCACTGAGCATTTAAAATTCACAATGGCTCAAAAGTACAGACATGGCACTGAGAAGTTGGTGAAAGTTTGGCAGGAAGTACCTCGGCATGCGGCGTGCTCCTGTGTGCTGGCAACCACAGCAGAGGCGGGCGCAGGACGAGCCCCTGAAGTCAGTCGGAGCTGCACCAAAGGGCTTGCTTCCTTAGAAAAGTTGATCAGGGGCCAGGCAGGTAGTGTGGTGGTTAAGGGTGCTGGGCTCCCACATGATCGATCAGGGTTCGAGTCCCCAACCTGGTGGATTGCTTTCTCACTTCCTCTCTCTCTCTCTCTCTCTCTGTCTCTCTCTGTGTGTCCCTTTCTGGTTAAATTAAAATAAATAAATAAAGTAAAATAAAATAATTCTTTGAAAAAAACAAGTCAGACTTTCATCTCAACACCCCTACGTTGAGTGGTCGGAGGAGCGGGTGCTCACCTTTGCCCAGCTGTGAGCGGAGACTCGGACTTTCTGAATCCAGCAAGCCGGAGAGGGCCCTGCTGCATGTTCTCGGCCGTGTGTACTAACTCACCTGTGTCTGGGATGCCTTTGTTTGCTTGCACACTCTGCCTGCCAGTTTCCTATCATCAGGGACAGGATGATCTCAGGGCAGACATATGCCACGTAACATGCTCCGAAGTCGTGCCAGTGTTTTCTCAGTTAAGCACTGAAGCCCCCGTGGTGTGGACTGTAGCCCAGAGGCAAGACTTGATCTGGCTTCCTGAAGAGGAGCGTTTTCTCCTTCCAAGCCATGCTCCTGTTACGAGCCTCAGAAATGCTGTCACATTTAAGTCCAGTTTTCAATGGGCTAGATTTTGTTTATGAATTCCTCCTTAGAATTCTGATATTGCTCACATTTGCCCAGATACAGCCAGTTTCTAATTTCTTGGGGGGCCATAAAATCTCCCCAGTCTTAATCAAAGGATGCTTTGAAGAATCCCAAGTTTGTCGCATGTGGCAGGGTGGATAGAAGAATCACCCTGCCCTCATGGGACGAGTGTCCCCCTCGGGCGACAAGATGGTATATATTTATTGGTTGTTTATAAAAGGACTAATTCCAAAGATGGTCTGTGATTAGGAGACTGGAAGGCCCATTTAACCTCATGCTTCATTTAGATGACAAAACAAAGCCTTCCTCTCAATTGTGCTGTGAGGTTCTTTGCCCGTGTAGACCTAGCATGATGGAGAGCCCTCCCTGAGCACCCGGAAGAGACTGAAAGCAATGGAAGGGGCCCCACACATTCACACTGAGCACCGAGTGCTTTTAGGAATACCCAAGGAGAAGGATTGGGTATTATGTTCATAAAAATAAGGTGGAGAAGAACCCAACAGCCAATGAACTTCCAGAAGTGATGTTTCAAAAGGAACTCGGGAATCCTCAGGGCTTATGGTTCTTCACAATTAAACCTGAAGTACTCCACTGTTTTGATTGACAACATATTGGTGCTCATAAGAAAGTAATTTGGATTTTAATTTCAGAGCTGTTAAGGGCCTTTACTTCTACCTCCTCTTAACTACAGATTTAATTAATACATTTATGAGGCTTAAAAAGAGAGAGCCAAGAGGAGGGTCTGCAGGTATTGGGGTGCACTGTGCAGGCTGTATTTTCCTCTGCATCCACTGCTCTTCCCATTCTTACTTCCTGACTTCCGGTGTCCTAAACTGAAACCAATCCATGCAGGTTTGCTGAGGTCCAGGAAAGGGATGTGACAGCTTCTACACAGGGAACAGGCTGCAGTGGTAAGAGCCCTCCAGGGCAGAAGACTCAGCACTGAGCTGATATCTCTGGACTGGTTTGGGGAAAGAACGAGATGAACAGAAACATCATGAATGAGCATACCCGAAGCAGTGACCAGCCCATGGGCCTGAAAAGCAATCGCTTTAGGATAAATAATAGGGAGTGTGACTCTGCCCAGTGAAGACAAAGTGTGTTAGTACGGCCTGATGTGTGGTAGGGAGCTATCCATGAGTTTAAAGCCATGGTTGCTTTAACTCTGTTAAGAGGTTCAAGATGAGTCATTCAGGGGCATTAGGAGATTATCCTTTGGGGGGCAACATAATTAAAAACAAACACTACAGTCTCTTTGGTTACTCTTTTTATTTCCCCTGCCAGAGAGCACATGTGCTTGCCTGGGGGCGGGGGGGAGAGAAAGCATGCACTGTGGGGGGATGATCACACTGCAATCCCCTTTTCTCCATTTCTTCCTAGTTTTGGGATTTGGGGCACGTATGCACATGCACCCAGCGTGTTCTTTCAAGCCTGAACTCGAATCTCAGTTGGCCACATGGGATCCAGCCGCCTTAACCATCAGTGCCATGCCCTCTCTCATTACTCGTCTTTGAACGTTGAGGGAATTCCAGTGGTGATGGCTGAGTTCCTATAGGAAGCTCCCCTGATTGGGAAATTCTGTATTAGCCAGCTCTGGGCCAGGAGTGAGGTGTTCAGAGATCACTGTCCAGAGGTACAAGGAGGCCGGGTGGAAGGAGGAACATGGCAGTACTGGGAAAAGCCTGGCTCCTGGGCAAGTCTCCAGCCTGTCTTTGGGTACGAATTGCTGTAAGGTCCCATTTCAAAGTTAAGCCTGTTAGTCATGCAGACCAGGAAGGCCATCTGAAGTCAGAGGCAGCCTCATAGAACACCTTACACCTAAAGAAAAGAAGCTTCACTCAGTTCATCCGTTTTATTTAGAGTGAAATTTGCATCCACGCTGATTATTTATGTGCCAAGGCTCAGCCTGATGAAAATGAAAGTAGTCAAGTTTAAGTCATTTAACCCTGGAGATGCAGGCTTTGTCATGGGAACAGGGCCATAATTGATTCCGAATTGTAGGCAAAGCCCAGACACTGGTTGGTGGAAGGTTCCCCGGCATCTCACAGTTTACTTCAGGTGCTGTTGTTTGGGCATTTAATTTTTCATGTGTAGGCACCCAACCACCAGACAGCCGATACTAATTCTGCAAAATGGCCACAAAGAGGAAAATTAGTGCATTCTGATGGCCACTAAATATACCAACCTAACCACCCCTTTCCCCACCCCCTCCAGATCGGACTCGCTGCCCACCCGCCCGCCAGGTGGCATCTTAGGGTTCAAAGGGACCCTCTGGCATCTCGTGTCTGCAGAGCAGCTCACAGGCCAGAGAGAAGGCGGCAGAGGGTTTTCCCCTGGATTTTTAAGGAGAGTAGAAGAACATTGCCCGAAACGTCGCATTTCCCTGCCCCTCCTCTGCTTGCTGTAAATAATGAGTGATTAAGCAGACACGAAAGTCATTGGTGGCACGGGGTTCATTACCCTCCCCTGCAGAGGGTGGCGAGGGCTGTTAACAGCAGGCTGCTGCAAGAGAGTTATGAAGGACGTGGAATCTCATCGGAACGTGTGCTTTCTATCCGAACAGATGACACCGTCCATGAGTCAGCCGAGCCGTCCCGCGGCGAGAACGCGGCACAGACGCCCAGGATACCCAGCCGCCTCTTGGCCATCCTGCTGTTCCTCCTGGCCATGATTTTGACATTATAGCACAGCCTCCTCCCGTCACCTGTCACAGAACACATCAGGGTCTTGGAACACCAGAGATCCACTTAACTGCTCATCCTAAGAAGGGACTTGTGATTGGTTTGGGCGATGTCAGATTTTTTTTGTTTTCTTTCTTTCAGCCTGAATTTTCAGCAACAACTCGGGGCTGGGAGGGCGAAACGATTCGTGGTTGCCGCCTCGCCCCGCCCCACCCCTCCCCAGCCCTTTTCCTTGGCTTCTCTCACCCCTTCCAAATTAAATGGACTCCAGACGAAAATGCCAACTTGTCGTGGTGACGCCAGTGGTTCGCCAGCTCCTGTGCGCTCTCCTCTAAGAGCTCACCTGCCTTAGCGCACTGTCAGCGGGACAGGAACGAGGGAGAGTGGCAGATGCGCAGTGCTGGCCCGGGAGCTTTCCCTCCCTGTACAATATTTATGCCTCTCATTCAGGACTGTAAGATGACCGTGCAGGGCATCATGTCACCGTGTCAGGCCCAGAGGGGAGGTATTAAGAATAGATATAATATTACACCATTTCCTCTAGGAGCAGATAAATGAACAGGCTTCTAAAAGGTTGAGACACTGGGGTTTTTTTTCATATGACTGTCTTAAAGCATTCTTGACAGCGAAACTTGTGCTCTGAACAAGAAGCCTTTTTTTCCAGGAGCGGGTTGGGCACAGGGATGCTAGCACAGAACCAGTGCGGAAACGGGACACCGTGCGGTGGGTGGGGGTGCGTATGTGTGAGTGCCTCTAATTTTTTTGGTAACTGGGCAGTGCACACCAGATTTTTTTTTCTCCCTTTTTAATACAAATCACCATGGTGCTACAACTGTTTTTTGGTTTTGTTTTTGTGTTTAGAAACTCCAAGAGGCATTTTTATGAATAAAGTGACCTTCCCCGAGGCTGGCAAGCCAGGGTTGATGAGTGCATAGCCGAATAGCTTTGGTTGCTCCGCTGGGGGACCGTATGTACCAAGGACAGGAGCTCAGTGGCCAGAGGAGATGTGACTTGGCTTAGCTGGAGCGCCAGTGTGCCGTGGCCTTTCCCGACCCCCACCCCGTGCCCACGTTCTGCTCCACACTCCACGACGTAGACCCCGGTCGCCAGGAGAGTCAGTCAGCACTGCTTGGGAGGGCTAAAGGGAACTGTCGAAGGAAAATTCCAAAGTGTGGAGTAGAAGAGATTCGAGCATTGATTTTATATCCCTTCCCTTTCTGACACAGCCTAAAGTGTAGGGGAACATGTGTTTATCTGTGGGAGATGAACCAGATGGAGTCCCAAAGACTTTAACAAAATATTTTTTTAAAAATCCACTAGAATAGAAAATACATTATTTAGATATACTTTATGCTGAGAGTGAGTATATATGCTTGTCCTATTTAAACTTGTGAGAAAAAGTGGTACCCCTTGATACGTTTAGGGACGCGGGGCTATCTTGTTTTATTGTGGGGGCGGGGCAGAGTCAGAGCAGGACGACCCTGTGCAAGAACCTTAGCTGGCCTAGAGGGGGCATGTCCGCGTGGTCACCAGGAGGAGCAAGCCTTGAGGTTTCTACTGGCGGGGCTGTCGTCAGCTTAAACTCCAAAGCCGAGCAGGGGGGGACGTGTCAGACCCATGGGAAAGCAACCCAGCCTTCTGTGTTGTTCTACAGCATGGCCGCAGAAACCATGCCTTTGCGAATACAATGACTACGTAGGCAGATAAATGCGATGATCATGTACAATGTGAACAATTGAAAGCATTCCAACAAAATATGGATTTTTTTATATATTTGTTTTTTAAGATGTATATGTTTAAAAAAAAAAAAAAAAGAGAAGAGGGGTCGATTGTGGACAGACTTCATGAATGGGAAGTAGCTTGGAATTTTGAGTCGCTCTGAGTTGAAAAACTGTGTGACCGGACGGCAGTGCAAACGTCCTGCACCTACACGTGTTGAAATGTGATCTGGGCTGACCTGATCCGGGTGGAGTGGATGTGACTGGTGGAGGCTGTTCTCACTCAGAACCACGCGAGTGGGGTCGCCCCCCTCGCAGACACGATCCATCCTACTCCCCTCAACGTCGGGAACCACCCTCTGAGAAAGCAGCCACCATTTCACTGAAACAAAAGTTCATCGCATTCGATTCCTTTTTCCTTTAACTATTTATATGCTCAGTACTCTCAATAATATCCCAGAAATACTTCTTCTTACTAGTTACAGGCTTGTTGGTCCAGTGGGATTGGGGTAGGGGGAAAAAAGGTACCTCCTAAAATGGATCAATAGTAAAAACCAAAATAATACTGCATGTTCTATAACCACAAGGAAATCAGATGATCCTAATGAGTCCAGTTAGTTGTAACTACATTAGCAGTGCTAATTTCACTTTAGAAATGGTGACTTCTGTGGTTTATCTAGCATTCGTCTCTAACAAATGATGAAATAATGACTCATGGCCCTCTCTGCCATTGTCTTTCATTTTTTCACAGTGGAATTAGACCCCTTTACTTCACCATTGTGCCACTGCAAATTAGGTTTAAAAAAAAAAAATAGAGTATCCACACCAGTAGACCGTATGCTTCTCTACCCTACAGTGACATAATTATAGCTATTGCACTTGTCATGGAGTTTTCAAGAAGATGCTTGGTGTCAGACAGTTTTCATCTAGTCCAAAAAGTGCTGGTGGCCTTTTGTGATGGCGTTACAATCCTCTGGGGGCTTAGAAGACTGTCGATGCAAAGTTGTAGTAGCTTTTAATTTCCAAAACAGTTCAGAAGTCTGGAGGGTGGCCATAGCTGCCCCTCAGCCCCAGTTAGTCAAACCCCAGCGACCTTTGCCCCTGGTTGCCAAGGGCTTTGCAACATGAAGCAGGGAAATAAGGATCTGTCTGTTTAGTGGATACCGTGTATCCTTTACTAGACCAGGTAACAGTTCGTGTTAGTTTAGACTCTTGTTTTGTACTGTACTTTCTTGGGTGGCAGAGGAAAGAAAAGTAAAACATTAAAAATAAAAAAAAAAAAAACCAACCTTGCGTTCTTTAAATTCTGTATTATTAGCAACCTCTGTTGTATATAGTGTTTGATAATAAAGTATTAATTTGATTCTTATGTCTTTTGTAAGTGAGAACAATAGACTTTCAGGATACAAAACATGCACTGAGGCTTTGCGACATCCGCTGTGTATGTGGCTGAGAAGAGTCACAGCCGAGACACTGCTCCAGACCGGCCTCATCTGCGGCCCATCGCCCACCCCATCTTAAGACTCCATCATCTTGGGACCTGGAACAACATGACTAATTCGATCACTGTTTTGTCCTCCGTGTTTTCAAGGTCTGATGCTGGAGCCCGCTGGTCCCCCCGACCCCCACCCAGCCTGTGGGTTGGAAGAGGTTCAGGGATTGGAGCGACGGCTCTGTGCTTGGCTTCGGTTCTCTGTCTGTGGTTGTTTCATGGACTGTTTCATTTTCCCCAGAAGGGTCTTGTCAGTACCATGCGCAGCTCACGCACGGGGACGGTCGCAAACCAATCCACTTAAGAAGGTCAAATGGGGGCTGTTTCCCTCTGTGTCGTTGTAAAGGAAGAGTCACACGGTACCTGTCGATTTTCAGGGACTCTGTTTTTCTCCGGTGCCTTAGCAACGGCAACAGCCATTTTTATTAGGTTCCCCCAGATTAGAAAAACAGTTTGAAGCTCCTCCCTTCCACTCATCGCCCTCAGAGTCGTGGTCACCAGCTTTTCTTTGGCAAACCACCTCCACCCACACCCCAGCTTGCCTACATCGCCCACCCCCCTTCTTCTGATGTCTGTTTTGTTGTCTGTCGCCTCAGAGCTGTGAATGGGCAGGTCTGTCTCTGGTTTGGCTTCAGAGTTTTTCCCATGCGTTTGCCCCAGAGCTGCTCGGATGTGAGACAAATCTCCCTACAATGGGCCTGCCCCATTGTCTGTACAGTTTAATAGATGCTGGCATGTCGAGGTTACTCATGAGTCAGAATCCGCTTTCCATGCTTGCCCTTGACACCCCATTGAAGCCGCTCATGTGTGTGCGTCTGGGTGTGCAGTCCGGCCCCGTGTGGCCCCGTGCTTGTACCGCGCTGCTCTGCAGTTCCTTTGCACTTCCTCGAGTGCTGTTTTGAAATGCTGACATTATATAACGTACAAGAAAATGTAAAAAAAAAAAAAAAAAATCCCACACACAAACAATCCCATACGATCTGTATTTGTATATACACGTGTCCGTACAAGTATACCTAAATAAAAAATTAAAGATTTTCATCCTTTTAATTGGATCCCTCCTTCTACTTCTGTGTTCCTTGAATGACGCCTTTATTTCAGGGGCTCCTTGTACTCCGCTGATTTTTCCAAATCTTTGTGGACAGAAAACATGATCCGCCTGCCCAAGAGAGGGCCTGGGAGGCTCAAAGCTTGCAGAGTTAGAGACGGCCCGGTTTCCAGGCACACTCCAGTTATTCTGACCAGAGAATGTGCGATTTCAGCCGTCTCTGCATTTGAGCCTTAAAGTAGGCACAATAACCAGCCCGGCAGCCTAAAACGACTGTTAAATACGACAGGGGCCAGACACAAATTTTATTCTTTCACTTGGCACGTTTTTTTTCACCCCCCTCAGGAAAAAGGTCAAATAAGCATTTTCCCAGCACACATGATCCACTTCAAAAAGAAATGACAATGGTAATAAGAAGAAGCACTTCAGTGCAGCCCCACACCTCGGTTCTCTGTCCGGGTAGAATGAACTGACCCGCTGTGTGACCGTGGGCCGGTGACACAGTACCTTTGGGACTCAGCTTCCTTCCCTCTAAACAGCAAGGCTGTGTACGTGATCTGCCGGATTTTCTGAGTCCCGCCCTTGCTGGGTGCTGCAAAGCCCATTTTGCACCTGAGTGATGGGAATGCAGTTTTGTCTTTGATGATGACATTGCTATAAGCACAATTTGAGAATTTCATCTGTGCAAGGGAAAAGCATCAAGTATCTGCCATAATAGACACCTAATGCATTTCAAGACTTGGCTTTAATTACACCGTGTTAACATTAAACTCATTGAAAGCTTTTTATTATACTTAATTATTTGGCAGGGCACTAAACACTAATTATGACTTACTGTACCCTTTTTTGCTAATGAAGAATGACGGCTTTACAGAATGAGGAACCACTCACATGCTTTAGCAAGGTGTCCCGGACTACCTATGTGCCATTCTCAGATCAGAGCAGCATTATGTTTTCATCGTCATCCTCCATCGCCATCAAAAGCCTTCAAGTGATCATGGCATTGTGCTTAGCGCTGTGCAGACGGGTGCCAATGTGTACAGTCTGTACTTCAAGGCTTAAGGCAGACATTCTGCGTAAGGGTAACAGCAACGATTACAGAGCACAGAGAAAACCCAAGCGTTAATATTTTGCATAAATAATCGGGGAGGTACTTTTTTTTTTTTTCAACTAAACTTAAGTGAATGAAAATATTTTGGGATTTAAAGATTAGGATGATTGAATGAATGGAAATCCCCTTTTTAAAAGAGTCCAGGGGCCAGGAGAGGGTGTAATGGTTACGTCACTGGACTCACATAGCCAACTGCAGTGTGAGTCCTGGGCCCAGTGCTTTCAACTCACGCCCGGCACCTGTGCGTGCGTGCCCCAAATCCCAAGGAGAATGGAGGAGAAGGTACTGCAGCATGGCCATCCCCACTGGGTGGGGAGGGAGGGTGTGATTTCTCGTTTTCTGTCTGTCCAGTGAGCATGCGCACCCTATAGCAAAAATCTCTCTTAAAAACAAAACAAAACAAAAAAAGTCCACATGGGGTGAGAAGCTTCTGACAAAATAGAAAACTTGGTGACTCAAAAACCTCCACAGGCTTTCAAGTGGTGGTGAAGTGCACAGAGCACCTTTCCTCTGTAGCTGCAAAGGTGACTGAAACGAGAAACCCCCAGACAGCATCTGAGTGTCACTGAAGCAAATCGTAAGGATGTTGGTCCAGAGAAATCACCGTTTTTCCCCATGAGGAAGTAAGGGGAGCGACATAAAGATGGTCATTTCAGAGTCTGCCTTAGGGAATAACCAGGTAGTGCTCCCGGAGCTGAGACTACGTGGAGTTATGACTGAAGGTGAGGTTTTAGGCACTTGTACACACACAGAGTACAGAAATGGGATAAAGTACAACATTTGCAACATAACAGGCTAGGACCAGTTGGGTGACAGAGTCCCCGATTAGGAGGAGGTGGTTCCTAGACAGTGCCACCCTCTCCAATGGGAATGCGGACTGGACCCAAGGCAGAACGTGAGGGAGTTATGGAACGACACGGTGTAGAAAAGCACCTGGAACGCATGAGTCACCTAGGGTAGAACGTAAAAATCATAGGGGACATTTCAGTCTAGCGCTCCAGGCCTTTGCTGAATAAGACACACATACGTGGGGCCTTCAGCAAGTTCTTAGAAAATGTGTATTGTGGAAAAACTCTACATGGATTTCAAAATCTTTTTGCACCAAAATTAACTCGTAATTCAATTCCATTTTCCTATGAACTTTTTGAAGTCTCCTTGTCTATGTTCCTTGGGAGATTGTTGGCAAAGCTTCCTTTCCTATTCTGCTGGTCATGCAACTATCCTTCAAGAAAGCCTTGGCAACAATGCAGTGAAAAGCATGACAAGTTTTGCACAGTTCCTTTGGAAAACAAGGACTTCTGAAACCCGTTATAAATAATCAGGCCAATATTCTCCATGAGTTTTGAGTTTGATACATTCCATCATATGAGTCAAGTCATTCTGTGGTTGAATACATGTGTGCCTATTTTTGAAACGGAGTTGTAACTGCTGGACCCTGTGAGCAATAAATTTGCATCAACTGTGTGTTCTTTTGTTATACAGATGATAAATGCATACGATTTTTGGAAAAGGGGGGCATTACATTGCTCAAGGAATCAGAAAATATCATCAACAAGAATTCACCCGGGCTGAGGGCACGGGATGATTAGCTAAGCTACTCTTTGGAGAAAAATGGCATCTACTTAAACACAGCGGGCAAGCTGACCACCCCCCCCAACCCCCGCCCAGTGCAGTAGTTCCGCACTGCACATGGATAGCCAGATCCTACATGGCCGACCGCCGTTAAAATCTCAGCTTTGGCAGTCTGAAAAAGATGGCGGCCGAAGGTGCATGTGTGCCCCGAATCATGACAGGATGGAGAACTGGGGGGAAGGGGTTGTAGCAGAGTCGCACGCCACTGGGGGTGCTTTCTTTTTCTTTCTGAGCACACTCTGTCTGGCAGTGGCCCGGCCGTGCACATGTTGCTTCCAGGTAAGTTCCCTACTTCCCTCCTCCTTTCCAAAGAGAATGCAGTTTCTAAACCCTTCTATGCAGAATTTCTGGAGCCATTAGAAATGAGCAGGAAGGGGACTAACCGGCCCCATGCCCAGCATCTCCCCAGTAATGACGTTTTCCACAACTTCCGTCAGAGATTGTCTCTCTCTTCCCCAGAGCCTCACTCCATGCTCAGAGTGAGAGATGATTTCATTAGAAATGACCACTTCCTCCACTGTAAGTTTCCCATGAGCTCTGCCATGTCACCCCCCCGTGGTGTCCCCAGCAGGTGTCCATGCTGAAGGGAGGTCAGTAAGACAGTGCCACCCACCTCAAAGAGAAAGAACTTTTAGTTCTTTGTCTTGCTGTCTGCTTTTGTGATTCAGAGTTTAATTCCTAAACATGGGGTTTTCTGTAACATTAATGAGAGAAACCTTTCTAACAACCTGTGTCATAACAGCCCTGGGTCAGGGACACATGCACAGAGCTGCCCCAGGGACACGAGAGGACCTGACCGTGTGGGGTAAAGCGCTCCCTCCCTGAGGCTGTCAATCACTGCTTATTCAGAAAAATTCAGTCTGGTGGGTGGCTCTCCAAGTCAGTACCACGCTTGGAAATATCCTGGATTTCAGTCATGATTATTCAAGCAAGAACTTCATGTCACTTGGTAACACACGGACGCTTGTCAATCTTGACAAGAACACAAAGGGAGGAATGAGAACTCAAAAAGACATTACAATGGGAAAATGGAACAAAATATTTTTGCACGCTGTTTTGTCCCCATCTGCCAGGTGCTCC